TTGCACTGGATTTAAATTTAAAAAAAAAAACAAATTTATTTTTATTGTTTTTGAATCTGAGTGCAACCCAATGTATATAATTTATACATTGCTGTTATTTTAGCATTTGTTTATTCACAATTACTAAAATTTAGTCACTGGACTTTACAAGGGCTACTTGTTACCCAAGAACAGGCAGAGTTCATTTATGAGACTTTTAAAGCAGCTCTTCAAAACAAAACTTTGCATTGTTTGAAGGTCATGAGAACTAAACTGTCAAGAGTTCAACTTCAGTTCAGAGTACAGCCCTGAAGATATGAGTGGGTTTCTAATCTGGAGAACGACTTCAGACTGACTTTCTAAACTGTAGACTGTAAAGTAACACTGCAAAGCAGATGACAGATCGGCGCTTCATAAACCAGGTAGATCTGGTGACTGGCTTACTCCTCCACACCCATTTGCCTTCCAGGTTAAGGAAGGGACTCAACTTCAGCAGGTTTATAAATGTGATCAGGAAGACAGACCATGACCCAGACATTGGAATCTGCCTGCTCGTCCTCTCAATCTGTGCTGTCATATGGAAGCAAACTTTAACAGTTGCTTAACTATAAAACTCTTATTTCACCTCTTCATTTAAAGTGTTGACCTAACCCTGTCTCTAGTCCCTCCCAGGGCCTTTCCTTTGACTTAAAAACCACTGATGTTTTCTTTGTTGTCAGTGGCGGTGTTTTTGTGTTTGTTTTCTTAGGTTACATCAACAGTATGCACATGTTCACTTAGAAAATACTATCCAAGAATACCATGTCATGACAGATGAGGTTATACCCCAGTAAACCTGCCACATATTGAAAATAACAAATAAAAGCCGCATCTATTGTGTGTAATCTGCTAAGCATCATAGCTTACATAGCTTACCTAAGCATACACCAAGCATGCTCAGAACACTTACATCAGTCCACAGCTAGGTAAATTATAACCTGCTTCAACATGAGGTGTTAGCTGCTTCTTGTAACCCTTTGAATGTGGTACTATAAGGGAACAAAGTTATACAGATGCTCTTCTCTGAAAGGTTCAGGCATTATGCTGGCCTGCCCCTGTTACCTGGTGGAACAGGCAGTACCCTGGTCAGCCCATGGGACCTAAGGTTCCATGGGAACTAAGTCTGCATGCAGGTGCAGAGGACCCCTTTAAAAGACAGGTCCCTGCCCATTTACGCTCTCTGTTTCTGCTCTGCTTCCTCTCCCTGCTTTCTCTCAACTCTGTCTCCCACCTATGCTCTCTCTCGGTCTCTCTATGGCGACCGGCAATGGCGGTCAGCCATTATCCTGTTCCTCTTCTCTTAGTCTCCCTACTCTGCCGGGCCTTATAATAAACTTATAGTCAACATGTCTCATGTCTCAGCATTTCTCTTTTCTTCTTTTTAAACAAAACAATAACATTGTCTACCATGGCAAATGAAGAAACCATCATACACTTACCTATTTTGCTTTCAGGTCCTTTTTCCAAAGGTCTATTCTGTTCATCCAAAGACATTCAAAACAATAATTTTGTATTTGTGGTTTTTGTGATGTAAGCCTCTCTTCAGCACCGTCAAAATATTTTTAGGACAATCTTTCAGGATTAAAGAAATATCCCCTTGACACAATTGATGGTATGCTTTATGTCTTTTATGGTTTTATGCATGCCTTGAGTTTTTACTCATTGGTTATTCTATGTATTATTACAGATTAAAATTAAATGCTTTTCCTTTGTAAAAATATTTTGGATGTTACTATCTGTCTTATTTTAGGCCATTTAAAGTTTACAAGTTTTTCATATATTGAAATATATGTTGATATTTGACATTTTAAGAAATTGCTATTGCTCACACTTATTTTAGTTTTTGAATTTCATTATTGGAAGATTACCCTCCAACAGGTTAAGTCACATTAAACTTGTACTAAATTACATGTTTTCTGAGTTTGGATGGAGACGATGCTGATTTGAAGTATGAATGGATAATGATGGCCTGTGTCCATTGTTCCTAAGGCTTGATAGTCACAAGAATCACTAAGGATACTTTTCATCAAACATGAATTGGACAGGATGGTTTGAGACCTAAGAATACTCATTTTTAACAAGCACTAGGAATGATTATGCTGAAACAGTCTATGGACTACACTGGAATTGTATGCTCCATTTTTTAAAATTAGATGAACGATTTTAACACATGGTGCTAGAACACTTGGGTATCCATATGCAAAAAATAAAATAAATTTCAATCCATATCTTGTATAATACATAAAAATTAACTCATGTAAAAATTAAAAATAAATGGATCATAGAATTAAATATGAATACTAAAACTGTAAAACTTCTAGAAGAAAACATAGGAGAAAATATTTGTGACTTTCGGCTATGCAAAGATTTCTTAAAGATTATTGAAGTGCAGCCCATAAAATTCTTTAAAGATAAATTGAATTTTATTGGAATAAACAAATCTGCTTTTTGAAGGGCAATGTCATGGGAAGAAAGTGAACAGACAAGTTGCAGAGTAAATGGAGATGATTTCAAAGCACACATTCAATGAGGTCCTTATCCATAAAATCTGTTGTTTTTAAAGTATTCTTAAGGCAAAGGACACAGTCAACAAAACAAAATGGCAGCCCACAGATTGGGAAAAGATATTCACCAACCCCATGTCCCACAGAGGGCTGATCTCCAAAATTTACAAAGAACCCAAGAAGCTAGTTTCCAAAACACCTAATAATCCAATTTAAAAGTAGGGTACAGAACTAAATAGAGAATTCTCAACAGAGGAATCTAAAATGGCTGAAAGACACTTAGAAAACGTTCAACATCCTTAGCCATCAGGGCAATGCAAATCAAAACAACTCTGAGATATCATCTTATTCCAGTCAGAATGGCTAAAATAAAAAAAAAAAACACTAATGATAACTTATGCTGGAGAGGATGCTAAGAAAGGGCAAACTCCTCCACTGCTGGTGGGAGTGCAAACTCATACAGCCACTTTGAAAATCAGTACGGTGATTCCTCAGGAAAATGGGAATCAGCCTACCACAAGATCCAGCAATTCCACTCTTAGGCATATACCCAAAAGAAGCCCATTCATACAACAAGGACATCTGTTCAACTATGTTCATAGCAGCATTATTTATAATAGCCAGAACATGGAAGCAACCTAGATGCCCCTCAACTGAAGAATGGATGGAGAAAATGTGGTACATTTACACAATGGAGTACTACTCAGAAAAAAACAATGAAATATTGAAATGTGCAGGCAAATGGATGGAACTAGAAGGAACCATTCTGAGAGAGGTAACCCAGTCACAAAAAGACAAACATGGTATGCACTCACTCATATATGGATTTTACACATAGAGCAAAGGATGACCAGCCTATACTCCACACCACCAGAGAAGCTAGGTAACAAAGAGGACTCTAAAAGAGACATACATGGTCCCCCAGAGAAGGGGAAAGGAACAAGATCTCCTGAGCAAATTGAGAGCAAGGGGGAAGGAGGGAGGGAACTAAGAGAATGAAAAGGGGAGAAGAGGAGGAGTGAGGAGGACATAAGGGAACAGGAAGATTGTGTAAGGGAAGAATAGAGGAGAGCAAAATAAGAGATACCATCAAAGAGGGAGCCAGTATAGGTTTAAAGCAAAAATCAGGCACTAGGGAAATGTCCAGAGATCTACAAGAATGATATCAACTAACCATCTAAACAGTGGAGAGGCTACCTTAAGTGCCCTCCCCTGATAACGAGATTGATAACTAACTTACATACTATCCGAAAGCCTTCATCCAGCAGCTGATGGAAGTAGAAGATACCCACAGCTAAAAGCTGAACTGAATTAGGATACAGTTGCAGAGAAGGAGGAGTGATGAGCAAAGGGGTCAAGACCATGCTAGTGAAACCCACAGAAACAGCTGACCTGAACTCTGGGGAGCTCTTGGCCCCCAGACTGATAGCTGGGAAATCAGCATGGAACTGATCCAGACCCCATAAATGTGGGTGTTAGTGAGGAGGCCTCAGAAATATATGGGGCCTCTTGTAGTAGATCGATACTTATCCCTAAAGTAGGAATGGACTTTGGGAGCCCATTTCACATAGAGGGATACTCCCTGAGCCTAGACACACAGGGGAGGGCCTAGGCACTATCCCAAAAGATATGACATCTCTGAAGTCCACCCTCCCATGGAAGGCCTCATTCTCCCTGGGGAGCAGAAATGGTATTGGTGTAGTCCTTGTGAACCTGAAATAGGAGCAGAGATAGTGGGTCCTAGGAACCTCCCTGGCCTACTTGGCAAAGTTCCTTGCTAATGAAAGAGCCTGTCTCAAAACAAAAGGTGGAATGTGACTGGGTAATCACACCAAAGGTTATACTCTGACATACACATGTGAACATGTATATGTGCACACACATATAGACATATTAAAGGTATGGAGAAACTACTGTTGGTAAGAATATACAATCATGGAACCACTTAAAAATAGCTTGACATCTTCATAAAATGTTGGAAATCAACTTCTGGAAAATAATCGTCTTATTCCCAGGTATCTATCCAAGAGAAAGGAAGGAATATGTCTGTAGACTTGTTCTTAAACACTGATAGTAGTCTGATAATAGTGAAAAACTGGAAACAACACTAGCTTGCATCAATGAATGCATACATAAAATGTATAAACACACAATGGAAAAATACTTATCATTAAAAGGAATGAACTACTGCCATATGCAACATAGATGAATCTCAGAATATGCTGAGTAAAATATGAAAATCTCTTAATTCCATTTATATAAAAATGCAAGAAATCTATAAGACAAAAAAAATTGTTCTATGGCTACATAAGAAAGGAAGGAGCCAAAGGGAAAGTCTACAGTGGGGTCTAATTAATTTACACTATGGGTTCATGGGTAAACAAACAAGTTAAATTTTTAAAATAAAGCATAAATTTGATTAGTAAATCTGGAAGATAATGGTCTACCCTGATCTCCTGCCCTTCTACCTCTTGTTAGATTAACTCAACCATTGGTTACCTGCTGAATGCTGGAATAAAATCAACAGGTGAACTCCCAGACATTTGCAAAAGTAAGACACAGTAAAATTACTCTATTTACTTATTTTGTTGTTTTTTTTTTACTTTTAATTAAAATATAATTATATCACCCCTCCCCTTCTCTCTCCTCCCTCCAAACCCTCCACTGTTCCTCCTGCCACTCCCTCTCAAATTTGATGTTCTGTTTTCATATATGTGTGTGTATGTATTCATATGAATATATATATATGTACATATATACAAATACATACGTTCACACACAGTTAAACACATTTATTATTGCTCATATGGATATATCTTTTAGAGCCATTTGGTATTGCAGAACCAATTAGTTTGCTCATTGGGGAAGACTAATTCTCCCTTGTTTTCAGTCATTAATCACCTATAGTTCTTCAACTAGGGATGGAGCCCATTAAATATTTTCCAGCCATATTGACATGTCAGCTGGGGTTGTTACTGTTCAGGTCTTGTTTAAGTAGCCATATTATTGGGATTTCAGGGCTGTAGATTTCCCATCATAGCTAGAAGATGCAATATTACAGCAGACTCCCTGGTCCTCTGGCTCTTGACAATCTTTCCACCCTCTTTTCAGCAATGTTCCCTGAGAATTAATTAGGTGTAGAATTTGTGTTGTAGATGCTGGTCCCAAGGAAACCCTGTCTGCCTGAAAAGAGATGTTTTTCCATGTTTGGAGTATGCCAGCAAGATGAACCTAAGAAGCAGTATCCTAGACATGAATTTTCTTAGAGTGTCCATAGGATCAATACAAGTAGAAGAGAGGACATGGTATTTAGCACAGGGAGAAGTCAAACTGGGATTCAGGCCTGTAAGTTTCAATTACTTCCTGGGAGTCTGGCACTAAAAATGCTGTGGCATTTAGAGTTAAGCCAAAATAGATGATAATTGAGATGGTATAAAAATAAAATCATATTGTTATATGACATTATGCATATATATATGACATTGGCATCATTACAACATGCATATATAGGTTTGCACAAAGCTATATCATGAGCACTGTATAGCATGAGATTAAGAGAAGTTTGATCCAATATTGAAAGCATGCTGCCAAAGGCCTACTTTCTTCACATCTTTCATTTTTTCAAACGATGTATAGTATTTCATTTATTTGTATATGTGTTTGTCTGTAGGTGAGTACATGCACATGTATGTGCCCAAAGAGGTCAGACAATAGTCAGATGCCCCTGAAACTGGGGTCATGGACATTGTAAGCTGTGGAGTAGGTACTAGGAAGTGAACGGCAGTCCTCTGGATAAGTAGCAAGAGCATTTGACTGCTGAGCATGTCTCCAGCCTCTTTATGACATCACTCTACCCTACTTCTCACAAGGCCGTGTCCTCTCTCAAGTGCCATTCAGTTGTCTCAAATCTACACTGATAGGTTTGTTCTCTCATACCTCCCATTCTCCTACTCCAACTCCAGTAGAAAATGAGATCAAATGTTTGGTAGCTGCCTATGAAAGGACAAATGGATTCTTTTTTTGAAATACATATACTTTCACATCTTTCAAGTGCCTGTCTTTATACTGTGTGCTCATATGTGATCCAACTTCTCCAGACAGGGTGCCAAACTGGACAGTCCTATGACTCTGGGGGCATCAACACCTCCAAAGCACAGGTCGGGTAATTTTCATAGGGAATTGTGTCTTAAGAAATAGGTGTCATAGATGTTATGCCACACACAAGGCATTGCACTCTGACTGTGGTGAGTTAAAGCAAAGACACAAGAAAGATAAGCACATGAGGGGACACAGCAGTATCAAGGACACCTCTTAGAACATAAAGGCCCTTTGATGGCCACTAGCTTTGAACACAGATGGGCAGCTGACCCTGCTCACTCACAAAGTCCATTTTTATTCACCAATGAGTAAACATATCTTTATCTTTTCAAATTAAAAACTAAAAGAAATGTCAAAAATGAAAAAAATAACATTTTAAAATTAAACTCTATTAAAGAAATGCTAGTTCAAAAAAGACATAATTGGGCTTTCTAAAACCTGGCAGCTCCCAAACGCCAACAAGTTTTTCTCTTCGCAAGTCTGTTCTCAGCCATTCCAAGAAAGGAACAGAGAAGAACAGAGCTGTATCATTTTGATGACAACCCACTTCTAATCCACAGGATCAGATGCCTTTGCACCCTGTTCAAAGGAAACTTGGCCTAGAAAAGAATTAGTTTCATAACAAACCAGCCATTCTGAGAATAGAGGTGAGAAGAGATCGGGCGGAAGAAGCCGAGGCAGTGGAGAGGAGCTGCTGAGTTTTAATTGCCAGTTCATCTTCAGTTTCACGGTTGTTCATGGTGACCAAAGGAACTTGGCTCCTAGCTCCTCAAATTCTCAACTCCTTGGTGGAAAATGACAAATCTGTAAGATGTTGGTGTTCCTAGATGAACACACACACACACACACACACACACACACACACACACACATATATGCAGGCACACCGGCACACAGACACACACGGAAATGCTTGAGTCACAGAGACAGGGCAAATGCAATCATTTCAAGGAAAATAGATTACTAAGAAAGGTCAGCATCTGCAATATTATCTTCATTTTCCTCATCCAGCACTGATTAAGTGTGTGGTTTACAGGACATGCCAAAGTCTCTCTTAAGTACCCAATTATATTAGCTAAATGATGTTTAGAGAGCTATAACTCAAGGAAGTCATTATGAAGCAAAACAACACAAAATACATTTTCATCTGAAAATTTGTATAAAATTTGTATTTCTGATTAAGGTACAATCAAAATAGTTTGAGTGGGGCAGCTGACGATGAGGAAATTTAAAGATTATTATTTAAGAAAATATAGAATTTAAACCAAACATACACAGAAAACAAACAAACAAAACAACAAAACACACACTTAATAAGAAGCAATACTTTAAAAGGGTAGAGAGCTCGTTCTTGCTGTGGAATCGAATCCCTTTCCCATGAGTGTGTTTGCATGGCCTATTCCTTAAGCCTCCTTTATGTCTCCTTCTCTCTCCACTCTGACTACTTACCATTTCAAGCAAGCTTTACATTCAAGACATTCCTGCTGCTAATGAAGTAAATGGTAGTCATGAAACTCAAGCTGGGAGAAAAGAAGGAAGGAAAGCGCTTTTGCTGTCTAGGTTCTAATGAAGCTTCTTGTGGATTAAAGCCCTGTAGGTAAAAGGTACAGAATGCTTACTTTTTCTCAGTGCTGTGGTCATATAAGCAAAGAGGCATGACAAATTCATTCCATCCCTATCCTTTCCCCTCATCACCCTGTCACCCAACAGGCCACTAAATACACTAGAGAACGATTTGAGGAAGCAGAAGACATGCTCCTTTGCTTCCCTTGATTTTCTCTCATTTCTGTGAATTTAATTTTCAGTGTGAGCATGTGTCTGAGCTGGGGCAGACAGATTGGTGCAGGGTTTCTTAAAAACAATTTTTTGCTCCATCAGACACAATATATTCTACTGAAAGGGAAGAAAGCACTATACCCCAGGGGGAGAAAGTTTCCCCAAAACTTTGTTCCCTCAGAACTTTACAAGGGAAAGCTATGTCCCTCTTGGGTGATTTAATTTAATTGTTATGTTTTTTAGCTTTGTTCTAGGAGAAATTAAGCAACCATCAGCGGCACTTCATAGACAAACACCACTTTTGGTAGATAGAATACAAAACTAGGAATTGGAAAACCCAAAAAAGAATCCTGGCACAGTGCTGGGTGATTTCATCTCCACATGCCTAAATTTCCTGTTTGCAAAGTGAGCCGGAGCTCCCACTCGCCGCTTCTTTCTTGGAGATGCTGTCAGGGCTGATAGTCTCTGGGTTATTTTTTTTTCCCCTCTGAATTTTTTTTCTTCCAAAAAGAAGCAGAGATTTTAATGGTGCAAAAGGCACATATTGGTAAGTTTGGATACAGTGCTCCATTTGATGGTGTCAAAGGTAAGGCATCCTCTGTACTCTTAAGAAACTGGGAATTCAAAGTATCCAGTGCTAAAACCGATCACTGAACATGTTAAATGTCAAGATGTGCATGAGAATGAAGCAAACTAATTTAGGTCTTAAAGGTGGGAGGCCCTGGAGACAAATGCACAAATTCCAGACCTCCAGCCTGGAACCAGACTTCTAGCTGAGTGACTTTGAACAAATTGCTCAACTTCTCAGTGCCCCAGTTTCCTTATCTGTGAGGAGAAAAAAATAGTACCTTCTTCATAGGGAAAACCTATATCCATATAAAGTGCTCAGAGCAGCTAGTGCCTGGCATGTAGTAAGTAGGATTGTTGTTATTATTAGAATGTGTAAGATTGTTCAGGCAAGGAAAAGAAGGAGCAGCTCTCCAGACAGTGAACAGCATGAAGTAGAGGACAGAAATAACACAATGGGTGACCTGGGACCAGAGGAATGCTCTACTCCTAGAGCATAAAGGACCAGGTAGATGAGGCCAACGTGGGAGCCTCACAGAGGTCTTTGCTCTGCACATGGACTTTATTTTATACACAATGAAGACTAAATAAAAATTTTAGATTAAGAAACAATATGTCCAGATTTGTGACATTAAATAATTAAAAGAAAGTGTTAACAGAGTGTGATAGACTCTTTGCCACATGGATACAATGACTGTGCTTCCAGTGGCCCTACTTCCTAATGTCTTTGGAGGTTGCCCCATAAAGAGGTAGAATTATTCTCTACTTATTTAAAACGGACCAACTCTAGACCTGCTTTGACTTCTAAAGTGCAGCAAAACTTCACCCTGGCAGCGCTAATCCTAGATGTCATTTTTTCTGTTACACAGAATCCTGCTCCTGTCCTCCTCCGCCTCACCATGTGAAGAAGACCAAGTTACCCTAAGGAAGATGAGAGTGCACACAAAGCAAAGCCAACACATCCACCTGAAACCAACTTAAGCCAGCAGCCCAGGATGACCCGATAGCTGGCCGCAGAGTCAGCTGAGACCATAGGCTTCAGCTGAGCTCAGCCTAAATTTCTAATCTGATGAATCATAAACTAAATAAATGGCTGTTGTGCTTTAAGCTACTAAAATTTAAAGATGTTTAAACAGGAATATGCATATCATCTGACAAGAGTTTTAGTGTCAAAATTCAAATAATATTTCTGAATTAGTTAACATAGGCTGTTGTTATAATGACATTTTATTTTTAGGGAATTCTATACTCTATAGGAAGTGAATAGTATTTCTTATATTTAAGCAACCACTGACATATTCTGCAATGGGTATCGGTATTCCATTCTGTTGAGAGGTTAGTGACATCATAATTACACCCACAATTGGAAAGTGGGATAGGGGTGTGGGATTTCTGGTACCCAGTACAATTTTTTTAACTATATCACTGTTTTTCCTGGGAAAATAAACAAAGCCATTGTTTATTTTCTTCATTTACTTATTCAACAAATATTTGAGCTTTCTACATCCTAAGGACAGTGCCAAATACTGGAAAACTGGTATTTTGTGGAGTGCTACTGAGGGAGTGTGTGCGTGGGGTGGGGTGGGGGGCTCCAGACTAGTACCAAACAGTGTGCTGAGTGTCATCAAGGTGGACATAAGTACACAGTGCTCTTGGTCAAGCAGAGAAAAGTTTCCAGTAGTAGCAGCATCTGCACTGAGTGACTGAGAACTAGCAAGGTGGTTAAAAAAGAATAAAAAAGAACAAAGGATGGCCCAGCAGTAGTAACAAATGTACATGTGCTCTGGAACATTCTTAAAACTGCAAGTAATCGCTCAAGTTTATAAGCTGTTCACACATAAGAGGAAGGGGGGGAGGGAAGCTATAGACATTAGCAGAAATTTGACCTTATAGGATTGCTTTAATCCATTTTCTGTCACTGCTAACACAATTCCACACACTGGGTAAATTATAAAGGAAAGAGGTTTATTTTGGCTCAGTTCTGGTGTGAGGTTAAGAGGTCACATCTGGTGATAGCCATCTTACTGGCAAAATGCCAGTGTAGTACAGGGCATCCCATGGCAACAGTTAGGGAGCACAGGAGGCCTAACCAAACTATTTGGCTTTTTTTTTTTTTTTTAGAAGATCCACTCCCAAGATAGCCCATTAATCTATAAAATCACATGAGTGCACTAACACATTCATTGGGGTATAGTGCTAATTACACCTTAACATTTCCTGGTCCCTCTTCTTAACATTTCATAGTAAGGAGTAATTTCAATGCAAGTGCATAAGCCATACAAACCATAGTCAGGCCCTAGCAAGAATTGATGGGATTTGGCCAGTACCTTGAAATTAAAGTCATGATATATTTGGATTTACATTTCAGAAAATTAACCTTGTCCTAGAATGAAGACACATAACTGAAAGAATCAGTGAGTAGAGACTGATAGATCATTAAAAAAGCTATGAAATTTTCTCGAAGAACCAACTCTTTGTTACATTAATTCTTTGAATTGTTTTCTTTGTTTTGACTATATTGATTTCTGCCCTCAGTTTGATTATTTCCTGGCATCTACCCCTCCAGGGTGAATTTTCTTCCATTTGTTCTAGAACTTTCAGCTGTGGTGTCAACTCTCTGGTATGACTATCCTCTAGTTTCTTCATGTGAGCACTTAGAGCTATGAACTTTGCTCTTAGTACTGCTTTCAAAGTGTTCCATAAGTTAGAGCATGTTGTGTCTTCATTTCCATTGAATTCTAGGAAGTCTTTAATTTTGTTATTTCTTCCTTGACCCAGGAATGCTGCAATTGCCTGTTGTTCAATTTCCATTACTTGGCAGGTTTTCTGCAATTTGTGTTGTTTTTTGAATTCTAACTTTAAGCATGGTTGTCTGATAAGACACAGGGGGTTATTACAATTTTGTTGTACCTTCTGAGGTTTGCTATGTTGCTAAGTACATGGTTAATTTTAGAGAAGGTTCCATGTGATGCTGAAAAGAAGGTATATTCTTTTGTGTTTGGATGGAATGTTATATAGATTTCTGTTAATCCCAATTGGGTCATAATTTCTGTTAACTCCTTTGTCTCTTTGTTAAGTTTCTGTCTGGTGATCCTGTCCAACGGTGAGAGTGGGGTGTTGAAGCCTCCCACTATAACTGTGTGAGGTCTCATTTGTGATTTGAGTTTTAATAATGTTTCTGTTATGAATGTTGGTGCCTTTGTATTTGGGACATAGATGTTTATAATTGAAACTTCTTCCTGATGGATTTTTCCTGTGATGAGTATGAAAAGACCTTCTTCATCTCTTTTGATTGATTTTAGTTTGAAGTCTAATTTTATAGATACTAGGATAGCTAACCCAGCTTGTTTCTTGGGTCCATTTGATTGGAATATCTTATCTCAACTCTTTACTCTGAGGTAATGTCTATCTTTGAATTTGAGGTGTGTTTCTTGTATGCAGCAGAAGGATGGATTCTGTCTTCTGTTCTGATGTCCGCTCTGTTAGCCTGTGTCTTTTTATAGACAAGTTAAGACCATTAATATTGAGGGAGATTAAGGATCATTGAGTGCTTATTCTTGTGTGTTTTTGATTTGCTGTTGGTAGTGGTATTGTATATGGATTTGTCCTGCTTTTTCTTTGTGGTTTTGGTAAAGTGGAATTATCTATTCTCAATGTTTTTGTGAGTGTAGTTAATTTTCTTAGGTTGGAGTTTTCCTTCCAGTACTTTCTGTAGGGCTGGATTAGTGGTTACATGTTGTTTAAATCTGGTTTTGTCATGGAATATCTTGTTTTCTCCATGTATAGTGATTGAATGCTTTGATGGGTATAGTAATCTGGGCTGGCATCTGTGTTCTCTTAGAGTTGGAAGAATATCTATCCAGGTCCTTCTGGCTTTCAGAGTTTCCATGGAGAAGTCTGGTGTAATTTTGATAGGTTTGCCTTTGTATGTTACTTGACCTTTTTCCTTTGCTGCTCTTAATATTCTTTCTTTATTCTGTATGTTTGGTGTTTTAATTATTATATGACAGGGGGACTTTCTTTTGTGGTCCACTCTATTTGGTGTTCTGTAGGCTTCTTGTACTTTTATTGGCATGTCTTTCTTTAGGTTGGGAAAGTTTTCTTC